TGTGTGTGTGTGTGTAAATTTTCATTTTTTAATAAGATTTAAAAATTTAAATATTGTGTAAATAAGTATAAAAAACGACATTAGAAAGGTAATTATGTAAGTCTAGGGGTGTATACAAGTCGAGTTGGGCTCAAGCCATCCTCAACTTGAGCTAGAGTTTGATTATTTTTCGAACTTGAGCTTAAGTTTACGAGTTAGAGCCCGCTGATGAAGAGACTTGTTTATTACAAAAGAGGAAAAAATTTTATTAATTTAAAATAGCGCCATAATAAAATGACAAATATAATAAATAATTAGAAGAGATATAATTTAAAATCATTTAATATAAAATATAAAATATATTTTTAAATTTTTAATACTTAATAAAGATTTTAAATTTAATATATATTGAATAAATTTATTATTATTATTATTTGAATGAGCCAGTTCTTGAGCCCAACAGTAAATCAGGGCCCGAACTCACGAATCGGGTCGGCTCATTTTCACCCATATGCAAGTCCCTTGAAAAAATAGCTCCTCTTGGAAATACTCGTGAATCGATATTTTCTTCTCGCCTTCCCCACGAGCACGAGGCGGCGGCTGTTCAGCGTCGGAAGAAGACTGCAAAACTCCCGATAGCTGGGAAACGAAATATTTCGTTTATCACGTAACATCCCCATCGCCATCTCCATCTCCATCTCCATCTCCATCTCCAACTCCATCTCCTTCATTCTTCCCCGCCGGTCATTTCCTGGCATCTGCTCTGGTTGCGTGGGAAGAAGGAAAGAAAGAAAAAGACAGAGGTAACACTAACCTGCATAAACCATTACTCTGTGTCGATTGAAAAGAACCAGAAAGTAACTAACTTGCGTACACCACTGCTCTGTTTCGATTGTAAAAAACCAGCACACTAACTTACATAAACCACTGCGTTTAATCATCTTTTCTATCTTCACATTCCAGTCTTATCTTCTTTTGTTTTATTTCCTTTGCCTTTCGATTTATTTGATCGAATCTCTGATCTTTTATTTCCTTCTGATTTATTCCAATCTTCTTTTCTGCCGGTTGTTCAGCCTCTTCCGTCAAGACCCTAGAAGAGCTTGTTTCTAGATATATTTTCGTTCGTTCCCTTCAATATCGAAGGAAATGGGCGAAGTCGCAGTGAAGAAGACCGCAAAGCTGCCGATCCCTGGGAAGCGAAACATTCTCATAACCAGCGCTCTTCCCTATGTCAACAACGTTCCCCACCTCGGAAACATCATAGGATGTAATTTTTTTGGTCATGAATTAGTCTTTTTTATTCTCTTTTTAGTTCAATTGAGATTAAAATTGGCTTTTTTTGGATGTTTCTTGGAGTTTGATTGGAAAAAAGTTTACTGTTTTAGGTGTTTTGAGTGCCGATGTGTTCGCGCGCTATTGCCGGCTGCGAGGGTATAATACGGTATATATTTGCGGTACTGATGAGTATGGAACTTCTACTGAGACGAAGGCAATGGAGGAGAACTGCACACCTCAGGAGATTTGCGATAAGTGAGTTGTTTCTCTCTTCTTTTATTATTCTAAATTCTGTGGCCGTGCTCTCTTATTCTTATTGGATTTGATAGTGGTAAAGTTCATATGAGTGAAAGGAGTTTTAGGACAATATTTCATTTTACATGCTTTTGGGGCTAATTGGTGCTGTTATGATTCTGTAAATCTGAATTTGATAAATGTTAATGAAGTAAAGAATTTGATAAATTGATGTGATTAGAAAGGTTTTCTAAAAAAAATTAACCAAATTTTTAAACTCCAAAATTTATCTATGATTAGTATAGTTAATCTAAATTCTGTAACATGTTCTTAGAAAACAAAAAAAAAAAAAAAAAAAAATTTCTCTAAGTATTGGATTTTCTGGTAGTAATAAAATTACTAAAAACACCTTAGTGATATTTATCATCATTATTTTGAGCACAATGAGAACACTTATAAAATCATTATGTGCCATCATAATTGGTAACACAACATTAACTACAAAATCAACATAAGAAAATTGTTGAAAAGTGTTTCATCAAAAATAATAAGTCCAATTACAATAGAAAAACGGGAAATATTAGATGTCTAAACATAAAACAAGTTACATATGTTACTATGAGAATAATTCACGAGCAACCAGTACACAACCCAATTTTGACACAGAAATTCAAGAATGCAAGATTGCATATAGCTATTGATATGCGTCAAGTAGCCTAAGATCTTCTTCCAATGTATGGACACATCGGTGAATTGATTTGTAATGTAAATTCTATATAATGTGCCATTCCTAGGAGTTATTTGTAATTGTATAAGATCTATAAGATTTATTTTGAGCATAGGCATGGAGCTTGATAAACTTTGTCATATTGATAAATAAAAGTGCCATGCAAAAACATAACATAATACCAAGATATTTGTGTGATAAAGCAGTAAAACACATATACCATAATCATGTTATGATTTCATAGTTGTATTACCTAATTCCCACAATGATGGCAATGTAAGTTTGAGCATGCTACTTGCCTAATACCTTAAGAAATGATGATGTTGAGCCCTTGAAATCTTTTGTAACTCCATAAATTAATTATTTACGTAACAAATATTATGTGTCATATTTAAAAATATGAATTAATTTTGTATAGTTGTGGATGAAATATATGCATTGTGATTATGTTTCAATGTCTAACCTTAAAACATTTTCAAATCATTGCTTGTATATCATGGTTATTGACATCTATCTCATCATATGTCCTGATCACACGTCATCTCCAGTTGCATCATATTAAAATATATATTGTTCTTATAATATTAGCCTTTGAAATTATGTACACCGTTACAAGGAATGCAATATATGTGTTAACTCGTGTCTGTATAAACACTTGAAACTATTAATTTCAAATTCTAAATTTTCTCTCTAATGTATATAAGTTGAACATGATATTGTAGATTTTTTGCTCATTATTGCACTTTAAGTTGCTCCCAAATCTTATATTCACTAAATTATATGTTAACCCCAAAGAGGTAAGAGGATTATGTGTGATTTGCATTAGCAAGTCTACTGAAAATCATCAACCTTTGGTACTTAGAAGTCTTTCTTCTTAATAGTCGTTTGCATGACTCACAACTCTACTGTTGATCGAAACCCTACCCATGCCACATGAAATAATTTCGTGCCAAATGAGGCTGCATCCATGTTTTCTTGTGACACGATGAAATTTTCTCTATTGTGATAATATTTTTGATACTTATGAGGAACAACAAGTACATGCGATCCATCAGTAGCTTTATTGGCAACCTAAAACATGACAATATTTTCTTTTTGGGGCACTTACATACATACCACATATTTCTTATGTATTTACATATCTAGCACCTAAACATTTATTTTTACATTCATACCACTCAAATCTTTAACATCACGTCAAAAATATCATCATCGCTGTCTTTTTAAAAGTAAAATACACCTTTCATGCATAGGTTTATGAGACCATTGTGCTATAAGTGTAAATATCAAACTACGGGTCTTAGATATGTAAATACATAAGAATTGTGTGGTGTGTATGTAAAATTCCCTTTATTTTTTATTTCAATTGAATTATAGTTAAGTGATGTAGGTGTCGACTTGCTTGTTGATTATACACACTATATCAATGGATCGGATTTGCACGATAATGTGCCGTGGTCAGGTCCTTCTTCATGGCAAATTGGATATATGGTTGTCTAGGAATAGTGGACAATATACCATATACTGAGGATTAACCTTTAAACAAATCATCTATCTCATCACTTGCTATTTTATGATAGGGTCCTTGTCCAACCACAATCTACTCTTGTTAGTGAGATCATAAAAGCTATTGAAAGCTCTAAATCATATTCTTACAAACGACAATTCCCACGGGATCCTTCATATTAAGATGAGGATTTGGGTTGAATAGATCTTATTTTTGTTGATTGACAATATATTTAGGATCTAGTGGTGTAGAGAACAGCTGTTTAAAATCAAGAATCAATTTAACAAGTTTATATCTACACAATCAAGGATCAATCAGGTGGATGTTCTCATATGCTCGACTGTGAAAAAATGTGTTGGTGAGTAATGATTCAAGCCTACTCAAGCAAGTTATTTGAACTCATCAATCAACAATCATTGAAAAATAGCCAGTTAAATGTGAAAATTTTTAAAATTTGAAGTGAAATAATTTCATTTGTTGGGTTTTTATCAGAAAGATTCTATTAAGTAGGAAGGAAAAAAATGACGGTTTGTTGCAAAAAAAATGAACTAGTTATTATTCTAGGTTTCATGAATCAACATTATAATCACTAACCCTTTAAACAACACACGAGCCACCATGGATCATAAATATTAACAAAAAAAATACATACTTATAAAGTTCTCAAAGCAGAATTTCTTAAGCATGGCATGCTAATAAACCAAGAAATTTCTTTGATAAAGGCTGCACATTATCACAAGAGAAGAGAGATCTGAAACATGACTAGGCTTTGGATGAGTGGGAATCACATCAGATGTGCCAACAAGATGGGTTACTTTTTATAGAGAGTAAGAAGGAAGCTGGTTCAACACGAAAGCAAGTACCACCAACTTGAGCAAGAATTGGTTAAACCAACAAACTTCATGATTTATGATCCACATTTAACACATTTACACTTTACTATATTCACTCTTATACAGGTTCTTATAGTCTTAACAAGAAAGAATGGGGGAAGTCTTGAGGTTGATTGAATTCAATTTTGAAAATTGTTAGATTTGTTATGTTTGGGTATGTATCGATTAAACTTGCTGCATTAGTGCAGAACTTTATTTTATTTACAATTGTGCTAAAACATGGCATATATTTGGTTTATATGTTTAATTTTGGTCATTTGCTTCTATCTCAACATACATTTCTTTGACCAGATACCATGCAATTCACAAGGATGTTTATAAATGGTTTGACATAAGTTTTGATGAGTTTGGACGCACCTCTACTCCACAACAGACTGAAGTTTGTCAAGAAATATTTCAAGCACTTTTGGAAAACAACTGGTTGTCTGAGAACACCATGCAGCAGGCATACTTTTAAATTAATCTTATATTGATCTTCTTTATGCAGGATGTACAAGAAATTAAGGCATCTGTTAGTTAAAGTTTATTATTTTATCTTCTGTCCTTTGAATTGGTGCCTCCCGTAACCTTGATTTGAATCTACATTGTAGCTCTATTGTGATACATGTGAACGCTTCTTAGCTGATCGGCTTGTGGAGGGCACATGCCCTAGAACAAATTGTAACTACGAGTCTGCACGAGGTGATCAATGTGAAAAATGTGGAAACCTACTAAACCCAACTGAATTACAAGATCCCAAATGCAAGGTTTGTCGTACAACATGTGGTTGAGTTGATTGTTATTTGAGCTAGATATCTGAAAATATTTAGGGAAATTTACATACGTAGCACACAACTCTTATGTATTTACTTTTCTCTCACTAAACCTTCATACTTATGTACATAGCACTTTGGTGTATTTCACTTTTAAAAAATGGTAACAGTGCTATTATTTATGTGAGATTAAAGATTTGAGTACTATGTGTGTAAATATGAAAGTTTTAGTGTGATATATGTAAATACATAAGAATTGTGTGCTTTGAATTTAAATGCCCTAAATATTTACCAAATTAATCAGAAACAACTTTTTGTCTAACAAACTTTTTTTTGGTTCCATTAGGTGTGTAGGAACACTCCACGAGTTCGTGACACGGATCACTTGTTCCTTGAGCTCCCTTTACTTAAGGATAAATTAGAAGAGTATATTAACCGCACATCAGTGACTGGCGGTTGGAGCCAAAATGCCATTCAGGCTACACATGCATGGCTGAAAGAAGGGTTAAAGCCTCGTTGTATTACTAGAGACCTTAAGTGGGGTGTTCCCGTGCCACATGAAAAATATAAAGACAAGGTTAAACTTTAGAAGTGCATTTTGCAATGGTTTCATAAAACTGTCATGTTTGAAAATTATATACAATCTTGATGAAATTATACACTTTTAGGAACTAGTACTTGGATGATTGTTTGACAATTGGTGGGTAATAATTGAGTGGCATTGTTTTCTAGGTGTTTTATGTGTGGTTTGATGCTCCAATCGGATATATATCCATCACTTCGTGCTACACACCGGATTGGGAGAAATGGTGGAAAAATCCTGATAATGTAGAGCTCTTTCAGTTTATGGGCAAGGATAATGTGCCATTTCACACGGTAAGAATGATGCTCATTATTTTTACATAGTTTTGATGTGACAAATATATAAATAAGTATGGATAAAAAGATGGAAAGAACTTGTGAACCTCGAATCAGCTGAGTCTATATAACATTTTATTAAAAAAGCTGTTTATTTCCCTTATTTATAAAGCTATTTGTTTCATTTGTCTTGCTATTTTGTTATTAGGCATTTATTACTCTATCTAATCCTTTTTGTTTAGAAATTTTATGTTGAATATTTCTTGTATGCGCTTTCTATAAAAATTGATCATGATTTCTAAACTTACATATCATGGTTATTTTAGGCAACTTCACTTGCATGAAACTATGCTTGCATTATTATTTGAGATTTGTTTTTTTTCTCCTTATTGTTTGTTTTGGTTTTTTTGTTGATTTAATTCTTAGACGTATTGGCTGTTCCATGTAATTTTGGACGTGGGAGTACTGCTTCTGTAACTTACGAGTGATTATCAAATAAAACTGTATCAATATATTGTGCATGAGTGATATCATGCTGTCATAGTCTTCCGTATTTGTTATAGCTTTTTTTCTTTATAATTTGCTTCTAAGTTGTTCATGTTCTTTTTAAATGACAATTCTAGGTCATGTTCCCTTCTACTCTTCTGGGAACAGGTGAAAACTGGACATTACTGAAGACCATAAGTGTAACGGAGTATTTAAATTATGAATCAGGTATTTCGTCATTAATTACCAAAAACTTTAAGTGCTACTTCAATACATTTGAGCTTGACAAACATAACTTCTAAGTTGTTGTTGTATGTTTTTCTTCATTTCTTAAAATTTCAAAAGCTTTTTTGAGAATTTGGTAGTGCAATATGTTTCCCTATTTTGCCTTAGCTACAGTGATGCTATGCTGGCCCCAGGCATTTTACTCTTTTTCTTCTTTTTGTATTCTGTCTTGAAGTCATGATAGTGCTAGTTGCAAATTTTCAATCTTTGGAATGTGTGACTTTCTGCTGGCTAACCAGGATGAACAATACGTAGGGATTTTGGTATATTCCATTATGTTTTTATGGTTTCTTCTTATTTCAATTTGATTTTACATTTTTGTACTAAACATAAAATTTTCTTTGACTTCTGGCCACTAATGTCACCTTCTTACTTCTTAGTTATCACCTTGTTTTAGCACAAAGGATCTGCACCAGGGTTCTTGTAACTTGGCTTCACTTTGTTCCAATTTCTTACTTGGTTTTGGTTCTTAAAGCAGCTTTGGCAATTCAATGTCACCATTTCTGGTTTAATCTGAGTTTTATGTTGAATCTGTAATCTAGTTCTTCTTGATTCTCTTAATTTTATTCATTGTTATTTTGGATTATTTTAATCTATGACTTTTGAGAGTTCAATTTGTAAGATATTCCGGGTATTCTTGATATTATGGTCTGCTTTAGCTTACTTGAAACCTCTATATCATGATCATCATCCTCAATAACTTTTTCTCTACCATGCGTGTTCACTTTATGTGTTCACTCTCTTCATTTGTTTCTTTTGAGTGTTATGTAATTAAAAGAAATCTATAATTTTTTTAGTTGTATGAATATTAGTTCCTCAATATTATGACTTGATTTAGCATATTCTAACTATTATCACCTTCTTCATGTTTATCATTACAGTTTGGTGATCCACTTTATGAATTCTCATTATTTATTCATTTCTTATGAGTGCAGCGTGTATACAGGGAATGCATAACTTTTTTTAATGTTTGGATATTTTTTCATATAATCCTTGAGATGCAAAGACAGTTCATTCTTAATTTTTTTTTGAAGTTATGTTTCTCTGTAGGAGTTATTTTCCTCTAAAGATTTACACAGAAAGCTATTTCTACATTTTCCTTACATTCGAATTAGCTCTCTTGGTGATCTATCTCAATATTGATTGTTCTCTGCATTGCAGGTAAGTTCTCCAAGAGCAAAGGTATCGGTATTTTTGGTAATGACGCAGAGGACACAGAAATTCCCACAGAGGTTTGGCGATATTATTTGCTTACTAATAGGCCAGAGGTGAGCTTCAATAATACTGTAATTTCTGCAAATTCTTAGCTTTTACCTTTAGAATCTATGCTAAATTTGAGCTAAAAAGGTAATTTTTTTGGGTTTAAATAGGTCTCCGACACTTTGTTCACATGGACAGACTTGCAAGCCAAGCTAAACAGCGAGTTATTGAATAACTTGGGCAATTTTGTTAACCGTGTTTTGAGCTTCATTGCCAAACCGTCAGGTTGGTCCAAAGTCTTTCATATGTTATTGTTATTATATGAAGTTTAGCTTACAAACTTGTAACTTGCTAACATTGTGTCCTTTTATCAATGGGAAGTCTCAAGAACTTCAACTATTTGAAGTTTTTCGTAAATGTACAAATATGAATTATTATAGGTTAATCTATCTTACTATCATTAACTTTTACGGGCAAAAGGTTCATAAGCTGATTGTATTCGAAATATACTAAGTCTAATTGTTATTTATTTTCTTATTGTAGTTCTTTTTTTGGTTGGCTATCCGATCATCACTCATGATGACTTTTATCTCATAATCATGAGCAGGTGTTTGGTTCTAATTGCTACCCTTTCAACACTCTTGAATCCAGATGATGAGGGTCTAGGTTTTGTTTTACTTCCAACCAGCAATCCATGTTTATATCTGATCAACCATTGTAATAAACATGCAATTTTTGCAATAGAACAATTTTTTAGAACTTCTGATGAAAATTAGAATAATTAAAAAAATATTCAATTAAAGGCTAAAAGATTTAGCTTTACATTAGAAATTTATGCTTAAAGATTACGGATTACAAAAGGCATATAAGAGAAAAAACTTTGTATAAGAAAGCAAATTAGATTGTAATTAATCCAACAAATGCACAAATGCTATTAAGAGAACAAGTTGTTATTCATTTTACCCGTTTTATCATATTTCAAATTATATTTTAATATTAAGAGCATTTGATGTCGAGTGGCAGACAAATGTGAAGTGGTATTCCATCTATTTATCATGAGATTACGCGTGGTAAAAAGTTGTGCACGGCAATTATATTCATTTATAGAATGTCTTTATATAGTAAAACTGTTGATTTGATGCGGGGTGATTTTGGTTTATAAGTTCTCTAATGCAATGAAAATGATTGACAAAGGAACATGAAGTTCTTAGATCACAAATCACTAGGAAAGCTAGCAATTTTTTTTTCTTTGAATGAAAACATTAACTACAATAATTGAAACTCAAACAATAATGGAATTGAATAAATATGAAGAAATCAGTAAGAAAGAAATTTGAACGAACCAAAATCGGCTTAATCACCTCAGATTGCTTCCTAGTTTTATCAAATCTGAAAAAAAAAAACCATGAGTATTACAAACCAATAACAAATTGGGAGAATTGCATTAGTACCACTCCGTTCTTATGTATTTACATATCTAACACCTAAATTTCATTTTTTACATATATGCTACCTTGCCTATGCATGAAGAGGTGTATTTCACCTTTTAAAAGTTAAAATATATGCCATACCCATTTTATTTTTTGATGGGTGCTGTATGTCTATCTAGACATACGCTGACATAAATTGTGAAATTAAAAGAGGTTGGCTAGCCAGGCCAACCCGCTTGAAAAGAAAAATTAAAATAATTGTACATTTTATAGGATGTGAAAGATTTGGGTGGGGTATACATGTAAAAAGTGAAGTTTACATGTTAGATATGTAAATACATAGGAATTGGGTGGCATGTAGGTAAGAATAAATTATGTCAGCAACTTACCAAAATAGGCAAGAAAGAACTATAAGTTCAGCTCATGAGGTCTTGAAATTTTCCTTTTTTTTATGGAATGATGGTTCAAACATTCTTAGTTGTAAATATTCCACTTTTATTTGAACAATTTATGTGATCATTGACTTTGTTTTTCTTACAGAATCAGGATACAATTCCACCATACCCGATGCTGTGGATGCAGAATCCCATCATTTAACGAAAACTTTGGCAGAGAAAGTCTTTAAACTTGTAGAGCAGTATATTGATGCAATGGAGAAGGTGAGTGAATTCATTTAAAGCTTTTCACAGACTGTTGCATGAATTATGCAAAATGATTTATTCTTTCTCCTCATTGACAGGTTAAATTAAAACAAGGCCTGAAAACTGCCATGAGTATTTCAAGCGAGGGAAATGCTTATTTACAAGTAAAATTAATTTTTATTTATATTTTAATTACTGGAGTATATGTTTGTTTGCGGCACTTGATCTAATGGAATCTCTTATCCCAACATGTAATGTAGGAGAGCCAGTTTTGGAAACTTTACAAAAAAGACCCTTTATCATGTTCAATTGTGATTAAGACTTCAGCTGGGCTTGTACTGTTGCTTGCATGTTTACTGGAACCTTTTATGCCTTCCTTCTCTGTTAAAGTAAATTATTTTTCAGTTTCTGAATAGTTATTGTTTCTTCAGTTAGAAGGCCTTATTTTTGTGTTTGTAAATGTAACATTTGCTTCAATCTTCTTTTTTTGTTGGGGATTTTTTAGGTGTTGCAACAGCTTAATTTATCCCCAGAAACATATCTGTCCTTGTTTAGCGAGGGAGGTGACATTGACAAGGCAAAACAACCATGGAATTTACTTCCTTCTGGCCATAAAATTGGTAAACCTGAACCACTCTTCACGGAACTGGTTAGTGACTTTTTTTTTGGCCCTTTATTTGATGGAATTATCTCCTTTGCTTCTCCAATATGATGGCCTGTGCTCTGCACAGGAAGATGAAAAAGTGGAAAGCTTAAGACAGAGATATGCTGGTAGTCAAGCTGAAAGAGTTGAGAAGGCGGAAGCTGATGCGAAGAAGATAGCTGAGCAGCTTAAGAGCACTAAAATATCTGGTATTAATTCTTCATTGTTGGTGTAAATGTAATACAGTTTTAGATATTATCCTATTTCTTGATAATAACATTGGCCATAAAGTTTACCTTTTGCCCATTTTTGGCTTTTTGTACAACAAAAAGTTAGCCACTTTTTGTCCTCACCATGCAGAAACAAGTTCAAAGAAACAACAAGCAAAGCCCACTAACACCAAACTAAAAGCCCCTGAAGCAGAAATATCTGTTTCGAGGCTCGATATACGCGTAGGCCAAATCACTAAGGTTCAGAAGCATCCGGATGCCGACTCACTCTACGTTGAAGAAATTGATTTGGGTGAAGAATCTCGGACCGTTGTGAGTGGTCTTGTTAATTATATTCCTATTGAAGAAATGGAGGTTGGTGATTCAAAATTTTGCTAAAATTCATAATACCAATATTGCCGTTTGTCAAATTTTCTGATTTTGAGCTTTTTAACGACTTAATCAGAATCGGAAAGTTTGTGTTCTTTGTAATCTAAAACCGGCAAACATGAGAGGAATTAAATCTTATGCAATGGTATTTGCTGCATCAAATGATGACCACACTAAAGTAAGGTTCTCTTTCTGTAATTATTTCAAATGGTTTATATGATATTTTAAGCCAACTTTGATTTGGTTTTATATCTTTTAAATGCCATAAATTGATTTTAGCCTCACTTAGACATTCCATTCTTTTTTTGGTGTGCAATGTAAACTAATTTACTTGGTTGAAAGTCAAGTACTGTGTTTTACCCAATTTAGGGTTCGTTTGGGACAGCTGCAGTTTTTTGTAAAAATGGTTGTAAAGCTATTAGAAAGCTACGGTGTGAATTATAAATATTTATTTTTTCAAATAACTATTTTCTTATTGTCATCACTTTTTATTAGATATAAAAGTAGCTTCTCACTATAAAATTTCGAGAAAATAGCAAGAAAATGGTTCCCCAAATATAACTGTGGGGACGTCATGGAATGCAAAACAAGCAAAAAGCTGTCTCAAGCAGATCCTTAATCTTCATTGCCATCATGCATTTTAATCTTCTCCTCTCTCGTTTGAATGACCTTGCTCTTCTCTCGATTTAGTTGCGGGATCTATTAAGATTGAAATTTTTAAAATTTCAGGTGGAATTGGTTGATCCTCCAGCTTCAGCTGTGGTAGGAGAGCGAATTACTTTTCCAGGGTATTCAGGGCAACCAGATGCGCTGCTGAATGCAAAGGCTAAGGTCTGGGAAAAGGTGCAGGTAGATCTGCACACAGATGCAGAGCTTATTGCTCATTACAAAAATTCTCCTTTTACTACTAGTGCTGGGATCTGCAAAGTTTTGTCCATTGCCAACGGGGCCATAAGGTAGATTGTAGTTTTGATCATCGCTGCCTCGAGATTTTGCGCTGCCAATTATGATTGTAAAATCTTATTGTTGAATTAATTATAGTTCGATCAGCTGTAGATTTTTGTTATAGTTTGTTTCACTTGCGAAAATTTTGTTTAGAGACTAATTACAGTCGCAAAAACTTTTTGTTGGATTATTATAAACGCAGCAGCTGTAGATTATTGTTATAGTTTGTTTCCCTCTTGAAGATACAAGATGGCATACCCTGTGCCATTTAGCGTGGTCATATGCAAATCTAATTGATGTATATTGATTCTCATTATCCGATGAGAATGATTGCAAATAGTGGTTATCATAATCATAGGTCAAATTTTATGTCTAGATTTAAGCAGATTAACAAGTTAATATACTGAGTTGTGACTTTTAATTTAAGCATATCATAATCAATCTGAGAGGTTGAATGACCGGGTGAAGAGAGACTTTTACCAATCATTTAAACCAAATATAGACATTTAGATGGGTTTAAATGACTAAGGGTATGTTTGGGGCGGCGGTGTTTTTTTAAAAAACTGCAGTTGAAAATTGTTTTTTTTCCTAATGAATCTGGCATAATGCGGGGGCTGTTAGAAAATTGCGGTCTGATTTTTTTTTTTTTTTAAGAAATTATAATAGCCATCGTAGTTTTTTGAACAACAGTTTCTTCTGCAACAGCTTTACAACTACTTCTTCAAACAACTGCAGCTACTCTAAACAAATCTTAAAAGAGGTTTAACTATTTGGATAGTCTAGATTTGAAGCTTATTAAGTAGTTCACATGTTGACTCATGACTTTGAATGGAGTGCAAAGGGGACTTCTCCAACCATTAATAGAGGTAATAAATTTGTAAACGAGTCAAGTGGAATTCAAGCTGCGTTTGAATTGAGTCTGATCTTGATTAATTAATTGAATTGGAACTCAAGCCCGTTCTTAATCTTAAGAGTTTGAGCTAATTTTTAAGCTAGCTCGTTTATTATTAAGTAGAAAAAATATATTTTGTTTCGAGCAAATTTCAAAATAAAATGATAAAAAGAATGGAAAATTAAATGATAAATAATAATAGATCTCTTTGGCAAAATAATAAGAATAAGAGGGCGATCAAAATACGTGAGATTTTAAATTCTAATATAATCGAGACATATTTTATATTAACTGTTTTTGTAACAAGCTGACTCATGAACAAATAAATTGAGCCAATGCTTCCGGCTTAATCTATTGCTCTTTTAGCTTATCATGCTCAGCTCATAAGCTATTTATCGAGCGAAGTTCAAGCCAAATCATGAGTTGAGTTAACTAAATTAACACCCATAAGGCCCTAACTAGTTGCATGAGCTATAACCAGCCAAGAATTATGTCTTCTTTTTTGTTTCTGACTTCAAGAGTTTTTCTACACTTGGATTTGGTATTAATAGCAGATTTTTATGGTTGGCTGTTAAGATTTGAACGATTACTAATTTCCAATCAAATGCTATAAGATTATGTACTCCCATAATGAGCAAATAAAACTTATTTAGATGATTGGGACATTTACATACACACAACCCAATTCCTATGTATTTACATATCTAACTCTCAAACTTTAGTTTCATTTTAAAAAAAAAATAAATAATAGTGATATTTTTCCTATGTATTATTTAAAATTTGAGTGGCATGCATTTAAATATAAAGCTTAGGTGTTTTGACATATGAATACATAAGAATTGTGGCATGCCCGTGCATACGTCGTACATATGTAGATAATGAAATCTATACACATATATACACATGCATGCATGCATAAATACAAATATATATATATATATATATAACGAAATGGTTTACGGGTGACACTTATAAACGAAAAAAGCATTACATCAACTAATAAGATTCATGAAAATGAGAATCCCGCTATTAAAATAATAATAATAATAAATTACAGGCAGAACACACAAATCTTATGTATTTACACATCTAACACCCCACATCTAACACCCAAATTTAAACACTTTGGTGTCATAAAACTATGCATGAAAAATGTATATTTCACTTTTAAAAAACATAATAATGGTGGTATTTTAGTCGTGATGTTATCTGGTATGCATGTAAATAAGAATGTTTAGGTGATAGCTTTGTAAAATACAGGAATTGTGTGGCATGCATGTAAATGGGCCCAATAAAAAAACAGCCACCATACAAATTTCTCATACAGACTATGGGTTTTTAAGAAACAAATCATCTTACTGATCATAAATAAATAAACTTCTCATCAACACGATTTCCTCTCCTATGCTGCCATCTCACTGAACCAAAATTTAATAATCTGGAACAGAAAAAAATTAAATATATAAAATAAAATAAAATTCTAAATATTGCAATTCATTAATCCTCTTCATCTCCAGGCATTGGAACATAATCTGCAACTTCATCTTCCTTGTCCTCCTCCTCCATGGAGTTATTGAGATCAGAATCAACATCCTTCATCCGATAGTCTACCTTGAAGTCATAATCAGCATCCATATCATTCGCACCGCTCGTCTTGTGTGCCTTCCTCCTCTTCTTCTCTGCTCTTCTTTTGTGGGGATCGAGGATGCCCTCGGCGGCATAAAGTTTGTCATTTTGCCCTCTTGTTGTGTTGGCATTAGTATCCAAAGGCTCTTCTTCAACATTGTCAGCCATTGGTTCTTCTCCAATTTGATCTGCTTTATGATCCTCCACATCCTAATGGATACAGCTACTTAATTAGCAAACTTACAAATATGTCATATATATTAGGAAAGAATAATTTGTTTTAAAGAGGTAATGCATATATATAAAATAAAAGAAAGAAAAGAAACAAACTTCATCTGCCATCTGTTCATCAAACTGCAAAGGAGCGCCTGGAGGGACTTCAACATGAAGAAGATCTTCAGTAGATGCCAAGCTACCAATGTAAGAAGACTCATTACCGTAAACCTCATCAACATTGAACTCCTTCCCTAATTCTGACACAATTGCTGAATCTGAGATCCCTCCTTGGTCCCTAATTGGTGGTAGGGTGTAATATGGGATTTTTCCTGGGGACGGTAAAACAGAATCAATCAAATGCTTCTTGCAAATTCATAATATTGATGAGGGGCATTTACAAACATGCAACACAATTCTTATATATTTACATATATGTAACTCCTAAACTTTCATATTTACATGCATAACTCTCAAATCTTTGACATCACATAAAAATATACCACTATCATTAACTTTCTAAAAGTGAAATACTAAAAGGTTATAAATGTAAATATCATACTTTAGGTGTTAGATATGTAAATGCATAAGAATTGTGTGGGAACGTATGCAAATTTCCCTAATTAAAAACAGCATAATAACACATACCCTCATTCCAGTCATGCAGCACAATCTTTGCTGCAGCTTCGGGGTCCACTATACCTCCCTTTTTTAGCTTACCTCTAATGGTAGCAACTTTCTGCAAGAAGTCGTCGGTTGAACTGAAGCTAGATATCTTGTAAAGAGACATCAGTCTCTCAGCTGGACAAAGCTTGAGTATCTCTTTAACTGAATGCACAATCCAACGAGTAAAATCATAAAATCACTAACTAAAAGAATTTTTAAAATAAGATGTTAAATCAATACAACTTAAACAAATTATTTGGCTTTTCTGACATTAATTATCATCAGCTGCTTTGCAAACAATTAAGGATGCCATTTCTGCCACCTAATTGATCAACTTAATTACCATTCAACCAGAGAGGCTTTAGAAAAAAAGGGCACTTACATACATATCACACAATTCTTATGTATTTACACATCTAATACCTAAACTTCACTTCTTTACATTTATACCACCAAAATCATTCATATCACATAAAAAACACCACTATTTTCATGCATAGATAAGGTGGCATATATATGTAAAAATTGAAGTTTAGGTCTTAGGTATGTAAATACATAGGAATTTAAGTGGTATGTATGTAAATCTTCATTAGAAAAATTACCAGGACTAACTGGATCGTCCAGCTTTTCAATTCTTTTACAGTTGCGAAGTACAATAGATGCATCATTTTCACCAGACTTCAGCATTACAACACCGGGGCAGTCGAGCAGCTTCACATTCTTATCTAAATGGATTTCTTGCATTGATCTCGTAAGCCCCGGAGTAGCACCAACGTTAACAACATGAGATCTCTTCAAGCTATTAATGACACTACTCTTTCCAACATTTGGAAGTCCAACGATACCCACAGTAATTGACAATTTAATCTGTTCAGTAAAAAAAATAAATAAAAAAAGATTAGAACCCTGAAAAGAAATGTCAAGTCCCTGTTTGGAATCATTTTAGAATGTCTTATAAATATAGGAAAAAGATGTTGGTAAAAATTCTTCTATTATTAGTCATTTTATTTTTTTTATTTACGATCCAATCCAATGATAATGTTGAGGATATATTTGTAAGTATTTGTATAAGCGTGTAACTATATTGAGAGAAAATAATCAAACTATTAGGTCCTAAATTTTTTATTTAGGATTATATTTAAAACATCCAATGATGAAGAGTCCTGTTTAAAATATTGCATGATAAATCGGTAAGAATATCATGTCACTTAAACTATATTATAATAATTTTAATATTTATTATGTCATTCAATTTAACTCTGGTTGAATCTTTGAAGCCCAAACCTCTTCTTTCGGTCCAATTTTAGGTACAATTTTCAAAACCTTGGATTTGTTAACATGTCACTTGAGAGCAGGAACAAATAGCAAAACAACCTAATAGAATATGAAAGTGATGTAATTTTTCTAACTTTACAAAATCAATAGACTAAATTGTTGAACAAACAAAATCAAAAGCATAATGATTATAAATAGGTTAAAGCACAAACTGACAATTTGGAAACTACTCAAGTTCATACCTATTAGCCAATACAATTGAATATTAACATCAGTAGAAGATAAGAAATTAATCAAGATAGATTATTTAGAGTACTTCACAATAATGTTTGTGAAAGTCATAAATGACAAGGTCACAAGATATCGAAGTAGAAAATGACATAACTGAAAAAGTTAAGTTGACGCATCTGCATATGATGGAAAAATTGATTCTAGAACTTTAGTGACTAGTTACTGAGCATAGAAAACTATTTTAAATGGCATCGTGTTTGACAAATGGTAATTTCATATGTTATAGTTGCTTTGTTCACACCTAACAAACATGGTAATCCGGAAAACTAAAAAGAAGACCAGCCGGCAAAGAAAAACAGCACGGAGGAGGTCGGTGGTTGCCAAGGAGGCCGACTGCTGTAGGGGACAGCAGGGAAGGGTCGGCAGCTGCAGACTTCAGCTAGAAGGGCCGGCGGCTAGGAGTTCCTGCAGGACACCCTGCAGGGAAGGCTGACAGTGGCTGAAGGGATCTAGACTTAGATCCTAGCTCTGTTACCATTTTGGAAGATTGTAACGAAGCAGCATGTCTTAGATCCTAGCTCTGTTACCATTTTGGAAGATTGTAACAAAGCAGCATGTCTTGATAGAAAGTGGGGTATATAAATCCAATTAAAAGGGACACTCATAAGGAAAGAGATAAAAATAGAATAAAGAGAAATAGTAAAAAAATAAAAAGAAATAAAAATATAATAAAAAGAAATAAAAATAGAAATAAAAAAAAAACAAGAAAACAAATAACATCAAAAAAAGAAAATCTACATGTTAATAACGGCCAGGGATAGTCGTTATTATTTTAATATTCTAATAAAATCATCTCCTTGTACCAACATAAGAGCTGATTTTTCTTATTTATGTAAATTTGTTCATTGTGCTATATCATCTACAAAATTTATTCACGGCATACATAACACACTTAATTTTCATAAAAATGTGCCATGCTAGAAATCTAATATGATGAAATTAATTTGACATGCTCTCTGGTTTTCTGTTTAAAATTTTTGGGTGAAGTCTCAAATATCTTCCATAATTTCATTATAATTTGGTATTAAATTCCAATATCACATGCTTACTCTAAACAAAGTGAGTTGACGATACTTTAAGATCTACAAATCTACAATTTCCCTTCGGATGAAAGCATTTTACATATGATATTAATAGCACTACAATTAGGAAACTCTAACCCTAAGTCGTCATGCATCACTCTATTAATCATTAATCATAAAACTAAAGGATGAAACACGTAATGATGATGATGTTAAGATGGGATGGATACAAGAACTACCAAATACATATCCAAACTGCATTGCGGACCTAAAATGGCACATAAAATCACCACATTTGTGACAGAATAACAAGGCAAATACATGCATAGAGTCCCTCTATGAGATCACTATCATTTAATAAAATACAATAATGCACCAAGAAAAATTAGTGTGGAGTCCAAAAAACTTGAACAAGTTTAAAGAGTGAAAAAAAAGAGTGGAAACTTACAAAAGCATTCAAACAATGAAAAAAGGAATCAGCCATAAACAGAACTTTAACTGCATACAAACAGTAAGTGCAATTGGGCACCTTTGTTTCAATTCAAGAACAAGGATAAAAAACATTAGCTCTATATTAAAACCAAAAATAACTGTTGAGAAAAAAAAAAGGGTATTTTAATAATAACATACCTCACGACTTCTAGAATAGTTCTTTAGCAGCTTTATGAGAGTTTCAGCTCCAAGGCAATCACTAGTTTTCAAAATGTTGCTTGTGTTTGTAACCTTTGATTTGGACTTCCACCCTAAATTTGACCTTTGCTCTTGAGTACTGCACTTAAATGCCACAGCAGGTAACTCCCCCCGAAGATACTTGAGCCATTTCTGTGCAGCCTCCCGAGGAACCAAATCTATGATGTTGAAGATATAGATTAGCAAGCAAACGTCTAAAGAGAAACAACAAATAAAAGATGTCTTCTACTTTTCCATGTTTCATGTTAGAGGATATTCAGATGAAAGCATAAAAATCTAATAAAAGTTAGGAAGATAAAAAAGTTGAGAAGCTACCTATCTTGTTCAGAAGCAAAACAATACGCTTATTTGGGTCAGACTTCAATATCATATTTTCAATGTCAATACAACGAGTACCAAGGGGATCTCGAGCATCAAGCACCTCCAAAATTACATCTGATGCTTCTATAACTTTGACAAGTTCCTTATAGAATGTTCTCTCTGAATGATCTGAGGGATATCAATATTTAGTGAGAATAATGTTCATTGTAAATGCATGAAAGTAAGAAGCAATTTCCTTATCCAAACAAATTTAAATGCACCGCCTCAGGTCAACAATCATTGTTAATTTATCAAGTACCGTAGTTTTTAGTTGCTGCAAGAACTTCTTCCCCAATTGTTCTATTAGAAAATTCATCATCTTTGGCAGAAGCTTCAGAAGCCAAATTCTCTATATCACCCCCGAGTAAGCCCAGTTTTTTTTTCATAGCCTGGAATGGCAAAAGAAATTAGCTATTTATTCATCCATATCCAAAATTTTAGATAAAGAAATATAAAAGCATCCCAAAATCTACCATGCATTTAGCTAAATAATAGCCTGTATGGCCTTAAAAAGTCAATTCATCTAAATAAACAGATTGATGATGACCACACTATCATGGTTGAATGTCATACAGTAAGATCAAATGCTCAGCATTCACAATCCCTGACTTCTTATATAAGATATCCATCAGTAGTGAAAACAAAAAACTCAACTCAATTTCGAAAAAACAATAATTCTAAATAAAAGCAAGCCTTCCACACTACTGATTCTATAAGCACAAAAAAAAAAAAAAACATCAGCTTACTAAGAAATTACTACCTCAGTTTCACATAAATCCAATAGTTGTTTAGAATGCCGAATCTCTACAAACTACAGGATATCTCCCAAAATCATCTCCCAAAATCTACTGTAATATATATAGCAGTCATCAGCAATCCACTAATACTGTCTGATAAGAGAAATCATTTGATAAATTTATTTACAATTATTATTCTCCCTCTTCTTGTAAGTTATCCTGCTGTGAATCAATTATGTTTCCTACCCTTTTCCATATTACTTGCGTGCAGTATACACAAGATATTTAAATAATACTCAAATTTCAAATATCTATGTTTTCAGTATTCTTGCTCTCCTTCTCTTCTCTGTTAACTACATGCACTATTTCTTCAAGCAAATATGTAGTCACTGCATCGCTCAGATAAAAATATAAATAAATAAAATAAAACACTTCTAAGAAAGAACTTCATAATTATGGAGCATAGACGAGTACCCTCTCTTTTCTGGCTGCCTTCTTCTGCTCCAATTCCTCCAGCGCACGGGCCCTGCGCTCTTCAAGTGCCCTGAGTTCCTGTTCCTTGAACGGCCAATCATTAGGGATGCCCGGATCCTTCTCAACCTTACGCTTACGATTCAATCCGAGCTTTTTCGCTTCCTTTGCCTTCTTCTTGTGATGCTCCTTGACCTTTCGAATAACCTTGTACTTCTTCTTAAGAGAGATTCTCTTACTTTTGCTCTCTGCGAAAAACAAAAAAATATAGAGGAACGTATAGGTTCAAAACTGCAGAACAAGAGTAATTACGAATAAGAGATTTGAACGTACTTTTGCTCCTCTTCACCATTTTTGGGTTGGCAGAAGAGAGACGAAGAAGAACCGCTGGAAAATCTAGCAAAGAGAGGGAAAACGAGGAGGCTTTTGGGCGAAACCGGGAGAGGGGAGGCGAAGGGGAGCACTTCGGCAGGGACAGTGGCGGTAGGGCGAGGGTTCGGTAGGGCGAGGGTTCGGCTATTTAATTTTTTAGTCAAGTTTGTCTTATTAATTTAATTTATATTTAACTAAAAATTAATTAATATATTATTATTATTATAAATTTTACTTATAATTAATTAATGAAAATAAAACAAATATTGTATTATCATTTATTTAATAAATTTATATATATATAATTTAATTATTTCAAGAAAAGAAGTAATAAAAATAATAAGATAAATTTTTATTTATGTTATATTTGTTTATATGCCGAATATAAAAAATTTATTCATGTTCATTTCATTTACTAAACTAATGTGTTGAATAAAAGTTATCTAATGAGCCAAATAAAAGTTAATCCGAACAACTTATTTTGACGAAAAATTTTTAAATACAAAGTTACATCCGAACTCCAATAACACAATCTATAGTGAAATTCAATAGACATTCTCTTAAAAATATTATATATAAAGCTGCGTCCGAACTCCAATAACACGACATAATGTGAAATTCAATGGACATTCTTTTAAAAATATTATAGATTTATGAGTCAAAATACAAAGAAAATTTTAAAATTTTATATATTTGCCTTAATTTTATTGAAGTTGGTAAAATTTTCTCCATTTTCACGTGTATGTGAATATGTAAAAATATATTAAATACCTTCTTTAATTAAACATAAAATATATAAATGGACGCTCAAATAAAAAATCCGCCCCCAAAAACCATTCCTTTTTCCATCTCCGGCGGTAATCCACACATGAGGCCCGCCAACGAATTCCTCCGCCGCCACCTCCGCTATGGCTGCCGTCTTCTTGCTCCGCCAGTTCTTACTCCCTTGCCCCTCCCTCTCTCGAATATCTCCTCCGCCATCCCTTTTGAAATAAGGAATTTCGCTGTAAATCCTCATCATCCTTCAAGCTCTTCTCCGCTTTTCTCCAATTACGTAGCTCGCAGAGCTTTCTCAGGGTTCAATTGGAGAAATTCTGTGGATACTGAAAAACATGAAGAAGATTTTAACGGAAGCTCTGAAGGGAGATTGGAGCTCAATCCTATCGAGGTGTTGGAAACGGCGCCGGAGATGCCATCGGCCAGTTCCACTGCTAGGTCTCAGATATCGGAAGATGCATTTGGTGAAAATTCATGGTACCACTATCCGATTCAGGCTGTCATTTCTACGCTCGACGATTTTCATGATTTCACTGGGCTTCCATGGTAAAAAAATCCTTCTTTTTTTTTTGGCTTTGGTATGATTTTCTATATTATATTGCTTAATTTTTTTTTTTTGGATAAGATATCATCGAAGCTATTGTGATTTAAAATTATGAAAAACTCTGGAAGTTGGATTATATCGATTATCTCGGGAGAATGCAACGACAACAACATCAACATGCCTTTAACACTGTCATTGCCATGTTCCAAGTTTTGGATGTGAAATGTGGAGTATTGCTTTAGGTAGTGGACAATTAAGTAGTTGATAATCAGCTTAAATATTTTTGGGCAATCACATACAGACCACCCAAAACTTGCTATTTACAAATCAAATACCCTTTTTTATTCAATTTTCAAATTCTCACTCAAATATCAAAATTCATGCTAAAACCCCAACCCATATTTTTCAATTTTATCAAATTTTCTATAGTTTGATCGTGGCACGCATAAATACATGGGTTCGGTAGTTCAAAAAAATCACTTGGGTGTTTAATTTGTAAATATCAAAGTTTCAGGTGGTCTGTATGTAATCATCCCAAAAATTTTTGTTGAAAATTTATGACTATTCTATCTTGGGATAATGCATTTGGATTTTTTCTTGGGTGCTTATGTATTTTAATTTACTACTCTACAACAAGCAATTTGTTTGAAAACTTCTGGCACAATATATCCTTGTAAGGAGATTTAGCTGATCCAAATGCTTAATTTATGAGATTGGGTGAATGCATTTGGATTTTAATTAATTTGATTGGCAGATTAATTAGTAGCAGATTTACTTGAAAGTTTTCTGATGCTTAATTTTTGCCTTATTCATAGGATGGTTTCATTCCTAGGGTTCATTTGTTTGCTTCTAGATTAAAAAAACATATTTAGAAAATGAAGCATCAGACTTCACTTATTTAATGCTTGAAAATGATCATTGAAGTTGAGGTGGGGTTTGAGGGGATTTATGAAGTTTTAAATGAATGTTGATTTCTTATGAAATGGCGGATCTAACAAATTTTTATTATTGCTAAAACTAGGTTTCTAACTTCAAACAAGCAAATGTTCCTTCACTCTATTGTTCACGCTAGATTTTAACACATTCCTTAACTTATTCTTGAAACCAGGTCTTAATGTTTTAATCATTTTGAAATCAGCACTTTTTTAATTATATTTTGGGTTTCAACTTCTTTGATCGAGTCTTTTAGTTTATTTATTATTAAGCAGGTAGTCAATGTCAATTTCTTCAGAGATCCCTCTTGTCTAGAAGGCCATGATGCTACTATCCTAGTATAGGGTAATGGTTTGCAGTCCTTCAGAACTAATTGTTCTTTTCATTGTCTCAATGCATTTAGTATTTGGGGCATTTACATACATACCACCCATTTCCTATGTATTTACATATCTAACACCTAAAATTTGCTATTTATTCTTATACCACCCAAATCTTGCATAGCACATAAAAAATACAACCATTTTAACTTTTAAAAAAGTGAAAAATACACCTTTTCATGCATAGGTAAGGTGGTGTGTATGTAAAAATTAAAGTTTTGGTGTTAGATATGCAAATACGTAAGAAATGAGTGTTATGTCTGTAAATCTTCATATATATTTGTACTCATTGAGAACTTCGGCGGTCTGAAAAGATATTTCCAATCACGTTCGACCTTCATGTAGGTTCCTTTTCAATTCGTACTTTATGGCAGATTGAACATTTTTTTCATTTGAAAAGATGGCAATGTTGGTACACGAATGTATGGGATCAACTCACTAAGCAATTGAAAGTTAAGACCAACTTTTTATGCCATTCCTAAAGATTTCTCCTCTGTTAAGATATTTTCTTTAGAATCACATCTTAGGCAACAATGTTCAATTGTTTTTCAGCACGTCTGCTTCATCGTATAGTAGGCTTTTGCACTTTTTTTTTTTCTTCTTCTTCTTGCATTAACTGTAAATGAAAATTTCAAACTTTTCGCTCTTGTATGTATTGGACAGCTTTGAGTTTCTTCCCATCATTTGATCTATGGAATTGCCCATTGGATATCTTATTAATGATTCTCATACTTGAATAATAGATAGAAGCAATGGGTTGATAGTTGGAATTTTCACTTGGGTTGATTGAAGCCAAATGATGAAAGGATAAGATCAATCGTATGGATTGCCAGGCCAAGTTTATATGTTGTTATAGCTGTTATTTTGCGTATTATCGAAATTGTTAATATGTTGCACTCATGCTATTCTAGTGTTTGCGAACACATGGAAGATGCAATACTTGATGTTTTAAAAGCTATATTCTAATTTAATGTTTCGAGCTTGACAATTCGAAATTACCATGTGATATTACTACTCTAAAAAACATTTTGAAAAATTTCCATTCTGCTAGTAATGAAAATCTTAGGGTCGCAAATGTTTTAAATTTTACTAGTTTTATTCTATTGCTTAGTAACAGTGGATTGGTCTGGTTATTAGCCTGTAAGGTACTTAGAGGTAAAATATGAAGTTTCAATTAAAAATTGGTTCACCGTATATAGCTTGTAGATGGAGGGGAAATAGCTTTTGACCTGTTCTCGTTTAGATTTTTAAAATTCTTTCTAGCATAAAAAATTTCCACCAAGTTGCCAAATCCATCATGTTACGCCACATCGAAACATACATCCTTGGAGCCTTCTAGGAAATTAATCATATAATTTTGTAAAAAATGTATATTATTGTATTTAATCCATATAAACAAGGATTAGGCGGTAAACTTAAAATAGGCCCAATATCATAAAAATTTTTGTTAACCAAGCAAAGTTTGAAATGGTGCTTTAAGAATGACATTTCCTGAAAGGTTGCAATGAAAGGAGAATTATTTGGTATATTGGATTAATTTGCAAATCGGACGTCAACTTAGCTTTGAGGAAATTCATGATGGTAAAGCTCTACGATAATGTTAGGTACTATTACGACGAGGAAGTTATGGATTGAATTTGGAGTCATGTTAGGACTCTATAGATTCCATTAAATCCTTCTCAAATGTAATGTCTTATTTTATTTTCATATACAAAATGAGTGAAAAATGAAATAAATTTTTTTTTCAAAATATTGCTCTTTCTCTGTAAGCAACTAAATGATCCATTACAATTTTACTAATAAAGAGAGGCTTAATGATATGAGAAGAAGCATTGGGGCACCATTTATTTGAAGCATGGAAATTTAAGAAGTATGGTGGCTATGTAAGACTATGAAGATTAATAACCTATTCATGAATAGGAGTGATAAAACAGTAATTTATGAAAAGGACTTGATTAAGATAGTTTTTATTTTGGCTTGGAGATCAATAATCAAGTTTATTTTCATGTGATGAAAAATGATTTTTATATGATATTTTTGAACTTGGGAAAATGCATGACTGAGTATCTAAGAATTAATTTAGTAGGCATTAATTAGAAAAAGTGCATATTAAAGATGTTTCATATGCATTGTATTGCTTCTAAAAGTTTTTAGTGTAAGCAATTATATTTTAAACTTTTGCATCGGCAATAGCTTAGGTTTTTTACACAGAGAGGCTGTATACAAATGGAGTTGGAGACAAAACTTCGCTGCCTTGTAGTTTAAAAAATACAATAGTTAAAAATCCAGAATAATATTTTTACTCGATGTTATTACCGAGAGTTTTTTTATATGATAATTTCTTTTATATATTTATTTTGCCAATTTTAAAAGTTTCTCTAAATATAAATTTTTGGTAAATTTATGTTTACTTAAAATTGTCTTATTTTCTTTATTACAGGTGGGTGGTAATTTCTATTTCTACTCTGTCTCTCAGGATATCTCTACTTCCAATACTTATTTTGCAGCTTAAGAAGATGGCAAAATTTGGGGCATTATTACCGAAATGTAAGCAATTTTGTCTACCAGTATTAGAAACTATGTTGAAAATTGTGGTTTATTGTGATATTTTTTATTCCTTTAAAAAGGTTTTTAATAGTATCACTTTTCCTTCGAATGAAAGCCCGATATGTTTACATGAATTTTATTTCTTATAAGGTAAGCTTTGCTTTAACATCTTATTCAGAGCACTGGCATAAACATATGCCATTGTGCTGTAACTCTTCAATTGCGCATGAAATACGATCAAAGTGATGAAGAGCATTGGATCGAGATTGACACAAGGGTAAATCTCGAGATTGAGGTTGAGCTCTGTCAACGCTGAATAAATATTGTTAAAGAGCTTAATGTTTTGGCCCATCAAACAAGCCTTGAGCTCAACATGTCGTGGTACGAACTAATCCCGCCCAGGTCGTAAAACCAATGCAATGGACAAAGGCAAGTCAAAGTTGCCTAGTTTGAAGGAGCTCACAATCTTAAAAATAATGCCAAGTGTACCCCTAGCTTAGAAGTGATACTGAAGTAATTGAAGAGGCATGAAATACGATCAAAGTGATGAAGAGCATTGGATCGAGATTGACATGCCACCATTTCTGCTTTGTGAGGTTGAGCTCTGTCAACGCTGAATAAATATTGTTAAAGAGCTTAATGTTTTGGCCCATCAAACAAGCCTTGAGCTCAACATGTCGTGGTACGAACTAATCCCGCCCAGGTCGTAAAACCAATGCAATGGACAAAGGCAAGTCAAAGTTGCCTAGTTTGAAGGAGCTCACAATCTTAAAAATAATGCCAAGTGTACCCCTAGCTTAGAAGTGATACTGAAGTAATTGAAGAGCAGGAAATAAGTTTTCTCTTGGTCGAGGCCACTTAAAAGCCTTAGAAAAAATCAAAGCTAGAACTCAACTCAGACTTGAAGTCCATTTTTACGAAATTAAAGAAGTAATCTACCTATTTGGTGAGAGATTCTCATATTTTCATGAGTGCTCTAACAATCATCTCAACACTTTCACCTGCTAAGATGCTGATCTTCCAATTGGACAAGAACATGAAAGGGTTCAAAACATTCTGTCTTCTAAGGCTCAAACGTCATAAATGAGGAATGCAAATGAACAAATTTGAAGGGTCACTAACTCATAATACAAATTGACTCAAATATGATGCTAACATTTAAGAGTTGCCCTAATGACGGTTCATACTTCTCTCTATCTTCGAGAAGTTTAATTCAGAAGCAAGAAGCACCTCTCAAGCAAATTGAAGAAAGGGACTGCTACTTTCAAAGCTCTATAATGGAGAGCACTCTCAAACTCTCTTATGACAGTAAATTTATCTTGAAAAATTTCTCGTACGCCCAACCCTTGTATCTTTGATAAGGGTCCACATTAAGAGACGATGAAGCCGACCTATCCAAATCTAAAAATGAGATTTAAGACTTAAATAACAAACTAACAGAGGCCTCTATAAAATTCGAAGATGGAGGCCTTGTCATCATCAATAAGCTCAAAGAAATTAACTTAATAAATTAAAGAAGATTCCCAATCCACTAACATCTGTGCCTTGTTCATATGGATGAAAGGATGAGTTGAAAAAATCACTCTTTTATGTAACTGGCTTTACCTTTGGCCAACTCTCTGGTTTTGCTCAGTTATGCTGCTTGAAGAATGCTAACTTTTGGGTTATCCCAATATGCTTCAAAAAGTATGCTAAGGCATCAAATCTTCCTGAATAGCATTCCAGGAGTGTTAAGTCATGTTAAAATGCCCATGCATTCATAAATGGGCTTAGTCTATGAAACTTGTGCTAGGGAATCTCATGTCAATGCTTAAAAGAACAAATTGGTATGTTTGTTGTCCCAAAGGAGTCAATACACATACTAACGTGTAGAATGAATTAAATTCTCCAAAAAATTGGAAAATGATCTTGAAATTACTGCAGTTCAAATAGCATAGAAGTACTGCCCCTGGAAAATCATCTTGAAATTGCTGCAGTCCAAGGCTCTGTTTTTCAAAACCATGTAAAACCTCCATGAAGCAACTTGCAAAATAAATTGCCCTTGGGCAATCTAAAGTCATATTAAAACTGCCCTTATGTGATGCTTTCAAGGTCAACAGGCCAACAATTTATGGCAGTACCGCTCAACATTTGATTGCTAGTCATGTTCGTTATATAGCATGGTTGATGACCCATATTTGAGCTTATCAGATTCCAGTTGATCTAATTGTTGTATTGGGGTCATTATATGCATATATTTGACGTTCCTATATGTTCAAAATTGCACCCCAACACATGCTAAGGCACTGATGAGCTCTAGGTTTAATGAGTTCACATTCATACTTTATACTAAAGTGCATGCAAGAACATTGATGCACTCAAGGAACACAAGCTTCCATAGCTAAAAACTGATATCATAATTAATCATCTATTAAGTCATATAGGCCATAACATAAAACACAAAACAATTGTACCTTGGGTATACTTTTTCCAAGGTGAATCGGTTCTTATTGAACTAATCAACCACGCCATGCCTTTAGGTCATCTTCTGAACCATAATATCTATGTTTCGTGCCTCTAAATTATTTAGTCTACTTCAAATGGCAAGATCTTTAGCAAAAGTGCATATGTAGGGTTTCATTTTGAAAAGTCATGTCTCTTTGGCAAATTGTTAACTTTTTGCTAATAAGCGATTGTGTTGGATGAGTCGACTCTTATTTGCTAATAAGACATCCAACAATCACAACACTTAGAGTCACACATAGTTTGTTGACTGTGAGAAAATGTTAATGGTAAGCTCATCGATTCATGTTCATGACAATGACGTACAACTCCCGACTACAGATTAGAAGGGCCAAATCTTTCTGAGTATTTGGATTGAAGTCCACATAGCTAATACCCTGGTTGATAGAAGCATAAGGTTTTAACAAAAATCTTAAATATAAGTGTTAAATTTGATTATATATAACTACCTTACTCCATCCTATTCATATGATCCAAGAACCTCTTTCAAAGCCCATATATAGAATTAATGTAAAATTCAAGAAATTTGACTAGTACAAAGATCATGCTTATAGTTATAATTAAAGATGTGTGAATTAGAACTAACATTACGTACAACACTCAACATGACAAAATGTAGAAGTAAAATTTCTAGATGTGGCCTCAAATGTTTAGGATAAGCCTAATGATGATAACGATGATTCAACAACATAAATCCAATTATGTATCTATTTATATTTGCCTTCAATCTTCTTCGTCCCTTTTGTAACCATAATACTCTTGAATTGTTGGTATTATCACCATGATTGTTGATATGATCATGGCTAAATTAGGCAGACTTAAGTGTTAACATAAGCTGCATTTATATTCATTGTGACAAATATTAATTTTTTTTTCAAACTTCTTAATCTAATATTCGGATTTGCAAATCCATATTTTTTTAATAATGCTATAATCCTGCATAAAGATTCTAGTTTTAACAAATTTGAAAATTGTTGCCTTTATTTTTCTTGCTTTTTTTCTGTTTGGCCATGATTTATAATACTGAATCCATGTTATTGATTTTTGGTTGAGTTCAACCTTGGATCGAAATAAATTTTACACGCATGTGAGTTAGGGTTTGTTTGGGGTAGTTGCAGTTGTTTGCTGAAGAAGAAATTGTTGTTCAAAAAGTTGTGATGACTATTATATATATATATATATTTTAAAAAAAGCCAGACCGCAGCTTTCTTGTTAGCGGTTATTGCATGCAGTCAGGTTTGGTGAAAAAAATGCAGTTTTCAGCTGTAGCTTTTTGAAAATGTAGGCAGAACACAGTTTTTCCTAACAGGAATAACTGCGGTGCGATACCACACTGCCACCGCACCGCCGCCCCAAACATACCCTTAGTGTTTCATGTCTTCTTTGTGTCTTATTTATTATTCTTATTTTTAGAAGTGCCGTCTCCATTTTCACCTCCTCGGTCAGAAAGGAGTTTTCTAGAACAATATCAGTTATTTCATAAGAAAAGAAAGGAACTTGGTTGCCCCTCATATTTGTGGAACTTTGCATTCTTTACTGCCCAGGTCAATTTCGAACCTTGGTTATAAATTCTTCTCTTGATCATGTAGTTATTCTCTACAAATTTTGATCTGGCTTATAGTAAGGTAATTTTAAAATCTTATCGACTCATAGGTGGGAATATAGTGAATGCTTGCAATAGATGTTTTAAACATACATATCCTCTTTTACATTAACAAACCTTTAGAAGTTTGGAAGAACTAATGAATTAGAGTTAGCTGAATATTAAAATAGCCCTAATTGTTAATTTCTGTATGCTAGAATATCCTATCATTGTCTTGTTCATTTTTATTCTATCCTTTTTCTATGACAAAGTTGATAGCCCCATAGAGAGGAAAGGTTGTGTCACACAATTGTTCTGAAAATTGACAATTTTAATTTTAAAGTACAATAATTTTGTTAATTGTTTCTTGAAACTGCTTCATATGTCATATTTTAGCTTTTCTGATTTTCATTCTATTTGCCTAATTCTGTTACAGTTACCATGCTTTTTACTTTGGATGAGCAGCATTCGGAGGATGTGTTTGGATCATCACCCTGGCTTTGATAGTGTAAGGGAAAGTACTCTTTTTGATTTACTTGTTTATAATTTTTTTTGAATGTTTCTTACTATAGATCCTACTTCATATGTGAATAAGGCTTGAGTTTTTGATGTTGAGCACTCTAGAAAATTTGCTGTAACTGAAAACGCAAAATAATTCTCTTTGATAGTGTCCAAGAGATCAAATATGTTAATATAGAAAAAAAAAACAAAAATATCATCATACAAATATTTATGATAATGAAAGCAATAAGATAAACACACGGACAAAAAAATTGTGATTTATGTGAGGAAGAACGATCTACATCCATAGCGCGATAACCATATATAACTCATTAATAATATATGGTGTGCAAATTAAGAGAAATAAAAAAATAGCAAGGTTATTGGAGAAAATCTTAGCAGAGCGTTGGGCAATCTTCTCAAAGAAAAGCCAAAAAGATTCTCCAAGAATAAGAGAAGATGAGGAAGAAACTTGCAATCTCCCTTTCGATTTCTCTTGCAGTGGAAGAAACGCAGTCTTATTAATTTTCAATCATGACAAAAATCTTCAACCTTCCAAAGATTATATTGCCTCCAAAATTCAATATTTGATAATATGCCCATGTGTATAAACCTTTCCTTGCTTGCCTTGGTCAAAATTTTCTTTCTTTATATTTTTTAATTCAAATTTTGAAACTTTTTTTATGTGATTAATTGCTTAATTAATTATCCTTCCTTATTTTTACCAACCTAGCTGAAATCCTCATGCTTTCTCATGATTGGCCAAAACCATTAGTTTACAAAATGATGTTCATTCCAAAATTTTGAACTTTGAATAAGTCGTATCTGTCTATTACCTTAAGTTTCTCATGTTTGGCCGAAATCTTTATGGATGTCATGTGTTATGATAATTAATTTAAAATAACTTACTATATTAAATTAATTGCTCATGTTGCCAAATCTTTGTATGTATATTTTCCATTAATTTCTCCATAGATATAATTATTTTGCTCATAATATAATAATTTTTTTAATTAGAATACCATTATTAAATTTAAATAATTTTATGGAAAGAAATTAATTATTTAAGAAAAATAGAATTTATTTTCTTGAATTTGTCCTGCATCTGATGCTGAAGAAGAGGAAAGAAACTTGAACTTCCAAGAAAGAAATTAGGGCATTCAATTTTTGAAATCACAAGAGCAAAGTCAATGATTGAAGAGTATCATTTGAAAGAGAGGACTATTCTTTCCCAAAAATTAAAGCTTGGTTAAAAAGATTTAAGAGCAATATGCTTCTTTTTTCTAAGATTATTGCATCAAGAGTGAATGATGGCTTTCCTTGTAGTAATGTGTTTGAATATTTCTTTTTGATTGATCTTAAAGAGGAAAAATTAACTTTTAGAAGAAAAATCACCTTGAGACAACTTTTAGATGATATTCCAAGAGTTTTCTTCCGGTATGATTTATGTCCTTGAATAACGTTTCTAATAAAATCAGTTTTCCTATGAGCCATCGGTAGAAGAGCATAAAGGAATATTTTTTCATAGAATTAATACTGGCCACAACAGGGAGATTCAATGCAACAAGATTTTAGGAAGGCACACCAGTATTTTCTGTAATAAAGGTCTTTCAAGATTTAGCTACTCTTGGATTTTCTTATGGGGCAATCATTACAAAAAAATATTTCTTTTCTTGAACTGCTATTATTTAAATTACAATAACTTCTGAACTTGTAAATGACTTCTGCTGTTCTTATTTGATTTTTGTTATGTTTATAATCAATTTATAATTTTGACATCCATTTTTCTTCAGGGAGGTACTCTGTGGTTCCTGAATTTGACTGATTATTTCCCTACCTTGATTGCTGGTTTACATTACATAAATGTTCAGGTATTGTCAATAGTTGTTGTTTTTAACGCTTGCGATAGTAATTTAGTGTTTTTAACGTCTGCGATAGTAACAAGTGTTGTATCATATAATCTCAGTTTGATATCAATCTGTAATCCCATATTATGTTAGCCACCATAATGCCACAAAAAATCTGTACCCGCAATAATAATTTAGTTTTGTTTTCCTACAAAATTTCTGGTCATGTTCCCTAGTTTTTGTTTCACTGTAAACTTTATTGAATGGCTTGCAGATGAAAGCTTTTTTATTTGTAAGTGCTGGGTGTTCTTACTAAAAATACGCATAAGTCGGTTCACATATCCCTTAATCATTTAGAATCCACATGCACAATAATCAAATCCAGTTTTGAAACTAAAATTAAAAACTTAGGTTAACTATGGAAAATTGAATTGCATGGTTTGAGCTTGCATGTACGTTGTAGTGTTGAAAATTCATCAATAAAGGGATCTTTTTATTTAAAATTTTTTTACCTAAGGTCACTTTGAGGGAAACTTCATTGTTATATCATTCATCTAAATGTACTTTTCATTTAAAAATATTTCATACGTTTGATCTAATGGTGCCACCAAATTCTTTATTTTGTTAATTTACACTCGCTTATTTGAGATCAGTACATCAGCCTTCTATCCTTGATATATTTCAGGCGCTTGATCTTGTGCATTGACACTAGTTTATTCGAGATTAGTACGTCATCCTGTCAACTTTGTTTTCCATGAATGATGTTTTGTTACTTTTATACATTACTTTTCAATTTATCCACATCATTTACCTTATCCCAACTATTTGGGGATCAACAGTGTTCATACAACACTAAGCCGAGCTTCAATTCATTCAAAATTGTTTTTTTGGTCTGAATATGATATTGATTAACCATTGCTTAAATCATTGTTGTTTGACTATATTTTGAGAATGGACAGTTTTTTTCAGATTAATGTGTTAGTTCATGACACGGGTTCATACTTAATTTATGCCGCTCTATAATTTCAGATGGTTAGCTGATTTTGATTTCTGGTGCAGATTTCTTTCCAAACTATCAAATTTGCAAATCTGCAAGGAGGTTTAGGTTTGTTGGCAAAAGTGAGTTGGGCAAATCGAACTTCTACCATTGTTTGCTATGATATTTTCCTCATTTGCAGATTAAAATTTTGTAATTTTGCAATTATGGTTAATGTCGAAATTCATATGTCCAATTATGATGGTTTATCTGCATTTCATTTAATTAGATTTCACATAAGGTTTATGGTTCATTTTTAATCTGACATCAACTCTGAATTTTTAACTTCAGTTGTCTGGAATTTGGAAACAACAATGGGGATTTTAACTTTTGATGTTTGACAGTTCCATGCACTATTTTTGTAACTTACTCTACATTCTTATATTATCATTTTTTTTTGTTGCAGTTGTACAAGTTATATCTGGATATTCTATCTATTCCATTGTTTTTTGTCGGGTTTTATATTCCCCAGGTTGGTCCACACACCATTTTATGCAATATTTTAATTTGATGCTGCGCACTAAGCTAGTAAAGATAATTCACATTGAAAATCTAACTTTGAAAAGTATGCCAATATGTGAAGGCATTCCTACAATACGTTGTGCACTAAATCCTACATTTGATTTTTCTTTGAAGAGCGAGCTAATACGTGTAGGAATTCATGCACTTGATCTGGATGTTTGTAAATATCAAATAATAAACTTTAGGCATGGTATTGGATCGATTATGTTAAATACATCAATATGTGCAAATCATACTAGCATCCCATACTAATCTAATGAACTAGGTCTACTTCTATTGATTAGTTATCCTTATGGAGAAGAATGCTTTGCATATTTGTAAACAAATATTTATCAAGTCATGGAAGTCTTGTTTTACATGCCTCAATAGATCAATTTATAGGCTTCATTACCCAAAATTAGTAGGACCAAAGGAACCATTGTCGTAAAGGTGTGATGAATTAAGGTTAAGGGAGCTATAGCCTGCAATAATCACCTTTAAGAAAAAATATGGTAACCAAAAGAACCCCAAAAAACTAAAATTTAAGGACTTGTTTGACGTATTTTTATTTTCATTTTTACTTTTATTTTTGAAAACATGTTTTGTTAATATAATTTCTATCATTGTTTTTAAATGCTTACTTCACGAGTAAAGTGAAGCGCATAACGTCCGCGTTTCGAAGCGATGAAGTTAATTTACAGGTGTTTTTTTGCAATTTTTAAGTTTCTAATTATTGCAACAAACTATTAGAAATTGTTCAAAATTCACCCTTTGTGTTTGTTTTCAAGTTTAGTATTGTATCACATTCTTTTCTATCCTATGTCAACTTTAAGTCATATTTTATTTATAAATTTAGTAAATATTTTTATATTTTAATAGTTTTATATAATCTATTAATGCTTTAGGGTCTGTTTGGGGCAGCTGTAGCTTATTGAATAATCTGCTAATAAGCTAATTAAAAATAATCTGCTGATAAGTTAGGTGCGGTGGCTATTACAAATTTTTTTTTTTTTTGGAAAAGTCAGACTGCTACCAAAAAGCTGTCACCGCACCTAGATAGGTGCGGTGTAAAAACGTTGTTTTCAGCATTTTCAAAACTCATTAGCTGCCAAAATGCAGTTTACCCAAACAGGTTAGTTAATAAAAGCGTCGTTTCGTTTTGCGATTTGTGCTTTGAAGGAAAAATGAAGCCTTGTGCATTGCACTTTGTGCTTTGATAAAACTGATTTTTATATGTTTTTAATTTTTTATTTTTATAAATAAATCACATTGTTTTTAATATGTCTTTTGAGGGATTTTAAAAATAATTACTACAATCAAATATGTTTTAATTCAAATCAAAATATAAGCAAAATAAATAAAACTAAAAATAGAAAACAAGAATTAAAAGTAATCCCAAACAGGGTCTAAGGAGTTCAAATAACCACTCCACATTATTTTTTCAAAACAACCATGAATATTATTAAAAGCCAAACCAATAATGAATTTCAACAAAATCTACTGTAGAATACCGTTCCCTTGTCTAGTCATTGTTATAGGAATCATTTAGTTTAAATTTCTGTTACCTTGGTGCTAGAAATGGAAGAGGAAATGCATTCCAAACCTCAAACCAATCCTCATACGAGCAATAAATCTCCAGTTAGTCATTTATGAAGGATAAAAATTCAAAAGACTTTACTGCCTTTGTAAATTTATTCATTACATACTCTGGTATTAAATTGGCAATTTCCTTTAGATTGTTGTCCGTAGCCAAAAGCTCAGATGACATGTTTTAAGAAATATAATACTTAACATAAAACCCCACACTTTTATAGTTAAATTGCCGCTCAACAAGTTCTTAATATGTAAACCTTTAAAGCCAAACTGACAATTGTACTTCAAATCATTGGTTGGTGAGGCAAAAAATAAAACTTTGATGCCCATCTAATGATTGTCTTTTGATGACGAACAGTATACGTGTACATATTCTTATTTTGGTAATTGTTAATGGTTTTCTTGATGACAATTTTCTTCAATTTCAGGGAAGTTTGGTTTATTGGGTGACCAACAGTTCATTGACTTTAATACAGGTGAGCTGGACTGTATTAGTTATATTAATATAGATGTGTTTAGTGGTCTCTCAATAATATGCAAGCTGTGGTTTGAATTTGTTTAATAATGACGGTTGACACAATTCATAATTTTGTGGTATAATGGGCTGCTTAAGGTTTTTAAGGTGCATTCCTTTGTATTTTTGCCTCTTCTTTCGTTTCTTCTGACCGCAGTTATTATGTTTTTCGGATTTCAATCATTTATTCGAAACTTTTAATTGTAACGTCAATTTTTATAATTTGGTTTAAACTCTTGTTGTGTTTGAGCTAACTAAGCACGCCTTAACTTTGGAGAAAGTATGTTTGTTTCTGCTTGGCTTAATGTACTATTGTAGGCTGCAAGTTCAGGCTATCCTAGTTTTATGGCAAGCCGGTATGTATTATAATGAGAGTTGAAGCTAGAGATTGGATAAAAACCATTCTTTATACTTAACTATTGTAAGTTTACTTCATGCATGCAAATGCTCAGTCATGCGGACAAGTTTAGTACTCACAGATCCTGGCTACAAATTTTATACATGCACTCGCATGTACTTGCATTTTAACATTTTTATTTACGTTAATATATATGTAAATGTATATGTACAATGCACTTGATCCAGCTCTAGTTCATGCATACACATTTACATAAAACTTTATAAATCTTCATACCTTTCAAGTGATTCCTATGATAGTCATTAACACTGTTTGTAGTTTTCCTAATCAAATTATTTATTTGATCATATATAAGAGTGCAAGTTAACGTTTGGCTTTAGAATTTATCCCTGAAATCAAGAGGCAACTAATAAAGGGAATTGAAAGTCTTTAAATAGATAGTTTGAGACATGTAATTTAGAACTTCGATGGAAGAAAATTTCTTATTCTAGTTTTCAATCTTGGGCAAGAAAGTTGGGTTTTTTGATTCCTTCGAGTGCTATTCCAGTGTGACAACTTGATTTTTCTAGGAAGTCTTCTCTTTGTATTGGTGTAGGGTTTAAATTTCTTATTTTAGTTAATACTTTATTTACCTAATTGGTTCCACATACCTTATTATTGTCTTATTAGTACTTTTTTATTCAAATTTACAGCACTTGAGATTTTCTATTTGTGGTGAATAAATTACTATTACTTGTTGATTTTTCATTGTTTGAATTTCTCATTGATTTATTTTTTTGGATATTTTTATCATTACATTATCGTTAGGGTTTTAAATCTTATATTTATATGTTTGCATCTAAAAAAAATAATTTTTTGTGCATTTACTGACATATGTGAATCTTAATTTCCCTTGTAAGATTGACAAGGCACTGCATCATTGTAGTTACATGCATTAAATTGGCTTAAGAGCTTATGGTTGCATTTTCATGCCAACGAAGTTAACTGGGTCAATTAAAATATTTAATTGATGATGCAATTTATAAAACAAAGTCGGATACTTGTTGTTCTAGTCAACAAAAAACATTGTTATCGTAATGTTACAAATTACATTTTTACTTTCTACAAGAGGTGTAAACTTAGGGAAGATTTAGGGTGGATCAATAATTTGAAGATTTTTTTACTTGAGCAATATTTATTTGATTCCAAGAAAGTTAAAATTCTTATAAATTAGTGGGATATACTCGATTGGTTTGGCAACTTGTAGCAAGTGGAATGAAGTCAGTGAGTTGGTGTGAAATATAAGCTTAAAGAAAAATATTTTCCATTGGTGAATGTTGGGGTGAATTGCATAATCAATTTTGAATTTGTAACAAAAGATTCTATAATGTTTGGGTATTTTATGAGGTTTATAACCTTAGACTATTTTATTACTTGTATCATTTAATCCTTTTACGAGAGTTTAGGACTAAACCTTGGTACAATATACTAAAACACTACATGTGGTTCTATGTAGATCTTTGAGTATTGAGGCATGTTAAGAACATTTTATTAAAGTTGTTGCTTTTGTTTCGTTTCCAAAGAAATCTTAGTAACAACTCATTTACAGATTGTGATACGCCAATTCAAGAGTTATGTATGATTGAAGTTGGTTGAAGAAACAATAGTTATGAATAGTCTTTTATGAATGTATTAGATGTATGATATGATTTGGAGTTACACTCTGAATCTATATCTGTTAATTCGCAAAATCTTTCGTGTTATTCATGGGCAGATGAGATTTCCTGCAAAAGACATTTTGAATGGATTGATCATTTCAATTTTTTTATTTTCCTTGTAGGAATTGTTGTTTTGCTTGCGAGTAAGAGCTTAACTTAATGTTTGGCTTTAGAATTTATTCCTGAAACCGATAAGAAATTGTTGTTTAACCTAATTTTGGCCGTTATTCTGGAGTGTCTAAGTTGGATTTGTGATTACTTTTGAGTGAGATATAAGCGTGGCTATTAAATTTAACGAGGAAGTCATCTCTTAGTGTCAACATGAACCATGTATTTCTTTCTTAATTTGATGTATTTTTTCTTTGACTTATTTTTTTTTTTAAATTTTGTTCTTGGCTTTTTAGTGTTTCTGCTTTGATTCAAATTTGGTACAAATGAGATTTTAATTATGGCTAATAAATTATAATTTGTTGCTATATTGTGCGGTTCAAATATCTTGTTGAGTTCTTCATATTTATTCAATCATTGCACTGCTTTTTTTTCTAATTTTTGTATTTGTTATCATTTAAAAAAAAATCAAACTTTTGATTGTTTAGTTGTCAAAGATCTATGTTTCTCAAGTCCCCTTGCATGACCTACTTATTGTACATCATTATAGCTGTATTAAAAATGCTGACTTTAAACCATCCTACATCATTAAATCTTAATTATCTTCATAATGGTCTTCTTCTTATTAACAACCCTACACTACTAGGCAACAAAAGACATTGTCTCCACTACTCCAGGCTACCAATTGGAAGCCTCAGGACCACTTCTCCCTCTTCAAAAAATTCCACGAGCTCCTATACAAACAGGGTACAAAGTTTGTAATTCTGATTTTCTGCATTTTATTCTTTTCCCTGTAGCAAGCTTCTTTCGGTTTTTCCATAGCAACCTGCTATGTTTCACTGGACGCTGTAATTCAAAATTTATCATGGTATCAGAGCTGCCAGGTTATTCCCCAAATCCCTAAACCTCTTCCCTTTTATATGTCTTTCCTTCCCCTTCCCCACCAACAATGTCGGAAACATCTTCCTCCACAAACCGGGAGGCCAATCTTGCCTCTCAGGACATGGCAGACATTTCCATTCCTTCCTCCCTAAAGTTTCTTATGTCTAACATTAATGCCATTATCAATGTTCAACTCACAGCCAAGAACTACACGACCTGGAAACCACAAATATACAAACTCTCAAGGCTGATGGCTTTGACGACTTTCTTGATGGCTCAGCAATTAGCCCTCCTCCCACCGTTCGCGACCCAACTGAACTAACAACCCCTAACCCACAATTTCTACACCGGCAGCTCATTGATCAAAACCTCTCCTCGGCCATCTACTCCACTATATCTCCTACAATTCTACCATATATCCTCAAAATCGAATTCACCATGGAAATATGACAAACTCTCCAATCTAAACTGCAGTCTACAAATCGATCCAGGGTCATTCAACTACGGAATGAACTACACATCTCTATGAAATATCGAACCATGTCCCAATATCTCTTGGTCATCAAATCCCTCATCGACAACATCGCGGCTATCGGAGGTCATAACGACCACGAGGACATAATACTCTATATCCTCAATGGCCTACCAGTCACCTATCAGTCCTTTAAAACTGTCATTCGCACCAGATCGAACTTGATCAAGCTGGATGATCTTCATTCACTGCTATGCAGCGGAGGGATCAATATCCTGCCGAAATTTCCAAGGAAATCAATGCTACAACCATCTCCATGTTCGTGACTCGTGGAGGACGCGCCGGCAATAAGATCGTGGCAAACGCCCCCCAATTTCAGGGGAACAAACCAATTCGACACCAAACAGGGGTGGTATAGCATCAGCCCAATACCTCAGTCGCCCAATCTATCAAATTTGCGGCAAAGCTGAACATGCAGTTCTCCAATGCTAGCATAGAGCCAACTTCAGCTCCTACCCCTCCACCAAAAACGATACAACACTATTGACCTCAATCGATCCTAGCCCATATGATTGGTTTCTCGACTCTGGAGCTACTACTCACCTCACTTCCAACTTTGATCATCTACAACACCCCAAACCATACCAAGGATCAGATTCCATCATCTTCAGAGATGGACCCAACCTCCCAATCATTCACAACAATCAAGGCATTCTAACCACCTCTCAACATAAACTCTATCTTCTCAAGCTTTTTCACTCCTCAGTCCTATCCCACAAATTTTTCTCTATCTATCAATTAACTTCTGACAATAAATGTGATATGGCTTTCACTAAATCCGGTTTTTTCATCACAGATTGAAGAACAAACAAATAATTCCTCAGCGGACCTAACCAGAACGGTCTATACCCCACCTCAACTTTGGCCGCCCTCCACTCTTCTCCATCATCTGCTGAACAATGGCAATGAAGACTTGGACATCCCCACCATGCTATCATAACTGCTATCTCTAAGACAACAAATACTATACATAGTCCTATTTTTAAATTTTCTTGTAATGAATGCAACTCTTCTAACAATCATCAACAATCATTTCCTATCTCTATTTATGAGTCTAAATGTTGTTTTGATTTAGTTCATTCTGATGTTTGGAATCCAACCCCCTGCACTTCAATACAAGTATATAAATATTACTCTCTTTTTGTTGATTACTCTCGATTCACATGGGTATTTCCTATGCTTGCTAAACTATGAAACAACAAATAAAGTCAAACTTCCACAATGACAAACTCAGTTAAGTACAAACATCAATGTCCTTTGCTTTGACCGTGGAGAATATACATCAAACACCTTGCGCACCTATCTCAACTCCCACAATATCATTTATCAATTCAGTTGCTCGCATACACCTCAATAAAACGGTGTAGCCAAACGCAAGCATAGAC